TGAAGGTGATCTAGGATCTTGAGAAACAAAGGAGAAAGTGCAAGAAATGTTTATCAGAGACCTACAAGAACTACAGAACAAGCAAAGAGAAGTGAATAATGCATGAGACGGAATCAATAGCAGAGTAACTGAGGCAGAAGTACAGATAAACGACCTGAAGGTCAGAATGGTGGAAATTACTGCCACAGAACAGAATGTAGATAAAGGATACATAGTAATCAAACTGACAAAAATTAAAGACAAGGATAAAATATTAAAAGTAACAAGGGAAAACTGACAACATAAAAGGGAATTTTCATCAGGCTACCAGCTGATTTCTCAACAAAAACTATAAGCCAGAAGGGAATGGCACAATATGTTTAATGTGATGAAAGGGAGGAACCTACAATCAAGAATACTCTACCCAGCAAGACTCTCATTCAGATTTGATAGAGCAATCAAAAGCTTTCCAAACAAGCAAAAGTTAAGAGAATTCAGCACCATCAAACCAGCTTTACAACAAATGCTAAAGGAATTTCTCTAGACAGGAAACACAAGAGAAGGAAAATACCAACAGAAAATAAACCCAAAACAATTAGGAAAGTGGTAATAAGGTCATAACTATTGATAATTTCCTGAAGTTTAAATGGATTAAATGTACCAACCGAAAGACATAGATTGGTTGGGCAGATGAAAACATGTGTGTATGTATTTCCACTTACCATATCACTCTGTTTGACCCCCCCAAACTGTATGTAATTATTTTATATTGTTACGGTAATCATGTTAATCATGTTAATTAACATGTTAAACATGTTAATCATGTTAATCATTATGGCTGGCAATTGTAATTATCTTTTATTTTTACTCTGGCTATTGATTGTGAAAGCTGTTAAATATCTTTTACTTTAAAAAAAAATGGTACACATGTGAAAAAAAAATTTTTAATAAAATAAAATAAAAATCACCCCTCTCATAAAGGAAAAAGGGATAAATTGGGAGATTAGAGTTGACATATATAAAATAGATATTTAATAAAGGCCAACTTACAGCACAACAAACTCTATTGAATATTCTGTAATGGCCTATAGAATATATATGTATGTATAACTGAGTCATTTTGCTGAACACAGGAAACTCACACAAATTTTAAATCAACTATACACCAGTAAAGTTTTTTTAAAAAATCAAAAAGAGAAAGAAAGGAAAAAGCTAATGAACAGGGAGCAAATCAATTAACTGGAGGTTGTCATGAGGTCTAACATAAAAATCAACATCAGTTTTGTTCACTAACAAGTCCCAGCTCCTGGAATAGTGCCTGGCACAGAGTAAGTGTAATATATTTGTATTTGTTAAATGAATGATCATGTCAGAGCAGAAATCATTTAGTAAGGAAGATAGAATAGGAGGTTGTGGTCAGAGTTGATGTTTGAACAGGTGATGGAAGAGGTGAAACATTATGGATAATGCCTCATATGTCTGACATGCACATGTAGTAGGTAACTGGTTTCTGGCCTTTTATAGGAAATAAGTATTTTTCAAAAAATTTAAATAGTCATTTATCTACAAATGGGTGAATTGACATTCCCCAAATAATTATCATTTAAAGCCACTGAAACCATCAGGGTTTTTAACTACCTCATATGGGCAGAATAAACGAACAAAATACTAGCAGGAATGATCTTCCCTTCCAAATTAACCTAGTCTAATTCTTAAAGCCAGAAGCTCAGAGTACTTCTCATGATTTCTATTTTATTTTGTTTATCACAGGTGTGGACAGTTTTAGGTTCACAATACTGTATCACCTTTCTAAAGTATATTGATCTTTTGGTAGGCTTTGAAAGACCCCTTTTTTTGCTTTTAGTGTACGGCTAAAGTCTCATTAAAAATAGACTACTTGTAAAGTAAAGATTTACAGAGGGAATGACAGTGGTCTTAATTTTTAAACAATGCCAGTCTTTTCCATTTAGCTAAATGCATCAAAGAAGTATTTTGATTTTGATGATTCATGTCTTTTTCAGATAGCTTGTATTAGTTCTTTATTTCTCTCCCACACGCCACTGTGTAATTACTTGTACAAAGTAGATATTTAATAAGTCTGTACTGACTTATCTTTAATTATGTAATAAGTTGTTCCCTGAAATGCTCTTCTCTCTACTCCTTTCCCTGGTAAATTTCTCTTATGATCCATCTCAAATATCATCTCTGAAATTATCCCCCATTCTTACAGGCAAATAATCAGGTCTCTGTCCTTAGAGTATTTCTGTGTTCTTTCATATCATCATCATTAACAGGTATAGCTATTTCTTATCCTTTCCTTTTATCTACCAAGGAGCAGAGCAGTGACTTTAACTTATTCATCTTAGGGTCTCCATACCTTGTATGTGACTACTGTGTAGAACGTCTTCCAGGTTTGTCTGGAAAATAGTATGACAGTGAGAAAGCTCATTCTGCAAGCACACTGTTGGCTTATGTTGGAAAATCCTGCCCTCTAAAGGATTTTGCCTCCTTAAAATTTTCCTGAAGTTAGGATATTGCTATTAGGTGAGCAGTGATTGGTTGGTAATGGGTCTGGAATCCAACCAGTGGATGAGAAAAGTTAGCCTTTTCCCCTTTACCAACCTTTCTTCTTTTCTCTTTTTCAGAAAAATTTATGCAGTTTTTAAAGGTTACAAATAAAATAAAAATCACCCCTCTCATAAAGGAAAAAGGGATAAATTGGGAGATTAGAGTTGACATATATAAAATAGATATTTAATAAAGGCCAACTTACAGCACAACAAACTCTATTGAATATTCTGTAATGGCCTATAGAATATATATGTATGTATAACTGAGTCATTTTGCTGAACACAGGAAACTCACACAAATTTTAAATCAACTATACACCAGTAAAGTTTTTTTAAAAAATCAAAAAGAGAAAGAAAGGAAAAAGCTAATGAACAGGGAGCAAATCAATTAACTGGAGGTTGTCATGAGGTCTAACATAAAAATCAACATCAGTTTTGTTCACTAACAAGTCCCAGCTCCTGGAATAGTGCCTGGCACAGAGTAAGTGTAATATATTTGTATTTGTTAAATGAATGATCATGTCAGAGCAGAAATCATTTAGTAAAGAAGATAGAATAGGAGGTTGTGGTCAGAGTTGATGTTTGAACAGGTGATGGAAGAGGTGAAACATTATGGATAATGCCTCATATGTCTGACATGCACATGTAGTAGGTAACTGGTTTCTGGCCTTTTATAGGAAATAAGTATTTTTAAAAAAATTTAAATAGTCATTTATCTACAAATGGGTGAATTGACATTCCCCAAATAATTATCATTTAAAGCCACTGAAACCATCAGGGTTTTTAACTACCTCATATGGGCAGAATAAACGAACAAAATACTAGCAGGAATGATCTTCCCTTCCAAATTAACCTAGTCTAATTCTTAAAGCCAGAAGCTCAGAGTACTTCTCATGATTTCTATTTTATTTTGTTTATCACAGGTGTGGACAGTTTTAGGTTCACAATACTGTATCACCTTTCTAAAGTATATTGATCTTTTGGTAGGCTTTGAAAGACCCCTTTTTTTGCTTTTAGTGTACGGCTAAAGTCTCATTAAAAATAGACTACTTGTAAAGTAAAGATTTACAGAGGGAATGACAGTGGTCTTAATTTTTAAACAATGCCAGTCTTTTCCATTTAGCTAAATGCATCAAAGAAGTATTTTGATTTTGATGATTCATGTCTTTTTCAGATAGCTTGTATTAGTTCTTTATTTCTCTCCCACACGCCACTGTGTAATTACTTGTACAAAGTAGATATTTAATAAGTCTGTACTGACTTATCTTTAATTATGTAATAAGTTGTTCCCTGAAATGCTCTTCTCTCTACTTCTTTCCCTGGTAAATTTCTCTTATGATCCATCTCAAATATCATCTCTGAAATTATCCCCCATTCTTACAGGCAAATAATCAGGTCTCTGTCCTTAGAGTATTTCTGTGTTCTTTCATATCATCATCATTAACAGGTATAGCTATTTCTTATCCTTTCCTTTTATCTACCAAGGAGCAGAGCAGTGACTTTAACTTATTCATCTTAGGGTCTCCATACCTTGTATGTGACTACTGTGTAGAATGTCTTCCAGGTTTGTCTGGAAAATAGTATGACAGTGAGAAAGCTCATTCTGCAAGCACACTGTTGGCTTATGTTGGAAAATCCTGCCCTCTAAAGGATTTTGCCTCCTTAAAATTTTCCTGAAGTTAGGATATTGCTATTAGGTGAGCAGTGATTGGTTGGTAATGGGTCTGGAATCCAACCAGTGGATGAGAAAAGTTAGCCTTTTCCCCTTTACCAACCTTTCTTCTTTTCTCTTTTTCAGAAAAATTTATGCAGTTTTTAAAGGTTACAACTTCTTTTAATTAAGCATACAACATAGTTGATTTTCAATATATATTTATTAAAAGTACAAGTATCCCCCAGGATGTTAACCCTGGCCATTCTTAGGGTGGTAGCATTTTTATTTTTTAACTTTTTCCTCTAGATGTAATTTTTTTTTTCATTCTTTGAATTTTCTATTTCATGAACTATATTAGGAAAAAATTCCATTTTTTTTAAAGATATGGTACATGATGGAAACATTTAAGAGAAGTAAATGCTTTGGTAGTTTGGAACCAGGTAGCTGGTTCAAAATGAAGCAATCTGTGCTCTGGTAACACATCTCAGTGGCTTAGGAAAGCAAAGTATATTTGCTGCTGGTAGACTGGAGTTCTTGTACATCCAATACTGCACATCCAGTCCACCTCCATTTCAAAGTGGTTTCCAAAGTTGCTGCATCCAGAGTAGGTAGAGATGGAAGAAATCAGCCATTTCTCACCTGCCTTATCACAAGTTATTTGCCAGAGCCAAACCGAGTCACATGGCCCCGAGCTTTACCAGAGCAGAGTGGAAAATGCAGGGGAGCACATAGAATACAGCGTGTGCTGAGCATCAGCTGTCTCTGTTAACATAACTACAACTCGTTTCATTTTACAGTTACTGTAACGAATGTATGTTGGATCCAGACTGCGGGTTCTGTTATCAGATGAATAAATCAACCGTCATTGACTCCTCCTGTGTTCCAGTTAATAAAGCATCCACAAATGAGGCATCCTGGGGCAGGTATGTTGCGCATTAAATACCATAAAAATATACAATAAAATTTCAGCTTGAGACTTATTTTTAAACTTACAGAATGACTGCACTTATACACTCTACTTCTTTTAAATTGGTCTTCTTTTAAAGAATCTTTGTTCTTTATAACTACATTACTTTGCAACATATTCTGATGAGAGTGGGTGGAAATATTGCAACTGTATGCTTCACAAACTTAGCATATAAACTCAAGCCTAGACTTCAGGAAATCCAAATTCCATACCCAGCTCTGTTCTAATAAGCTACAGGAGTCTGGACCTTGAGGCAGTATCACTAATATTACCACGGTAGTTTCTCCCACTGGGTATTTTTTAATTATACCAATAATTTCCAAACTCCAAAACTTAAGTGAAAGACAGAAAATTGTGAAATCACAATGAATACGATCATTTTAAATTCTTTAATTCATATTGTACGTTTCTGGAAGTCAGAAATTAAACAAAATAAGGATAAAGTTGGTAATTATGTGTGTGTATGAGAAACTGTGACGACCTTTCTCTTTTTGACAGATCCCATTGGTTTAGAGTGGGCACATAAATGAAACGTTTGTGTAGAACAAATATCCCATATTTATGAACTAACACTCATATTCATGAATACAGAAACATGTAAATATTATTTGACATGGCTTTTGCGTTTTAAATTCTCAGAAAAAGATTACTATGCTTTCATGCTGTCTGCCTCCTAATACTGGGGAAGGCAATGAAATCTGTAATAAAGTGCTTGTATCTCCTAGGAGCCAGGAAGTATAATGTATCATCATTAATACTTATGCTGTTGTCATTAATCATTTTATTATGGAATTATTCTAAAGTAGTAGTAGTAAATTATATGATATTGAGTGAAAATTCAGATCACATTTTAAATACACTGATTAAAAAGAAATATGTAAAAGAAATAGAGTTATTACTTAAAATGAAAGCGTGAAAGAGCTTCTTTTAAAACCACCTAATGTATCTTTTCATTAGTCAAGCTTTATTAGGAAGTTAATTGATTAATTATTTCTGAATGTAATACTTTACAGTTTTAATCCTTTTGATTTTTTTCAATAGAAGAAGCCTGAAAGTTTCTAATCAAGAATTATGAACAGTTTGAAATCTGTGTATGTAGCTTCCTATACTTCATAGAATTAATTTAAAAACTTATGGGGACACTAAAATTATGTTTATCTCTTTCTCATAGGAAGGTCTATAGGTCGGTAGTCTCAAAATAAGAGTTTTATTCTTTTTGCAGCTAACAAATTTTACAACTTTTTAATAGAAATGCGTATTACTTCTTTTATTTACACCTATTTTAGAGTTTATTTATATTTTTGTACCATTATTCCTGGGCTACACCCACTACTAGAGAAAAGTGAAAATAGCTAAGACCCAAGTAGGAAAAATACAAAGAACTAAACAAAATATACAAGAAACTTTTATGCTTGTGGAATATTCTTATTAATAGAATAATAACCTAAAACTCCTTACCTCCCACCTCGGAAAGAAAACAGATTTTCTCACTCTTCTCTCTGCTGAGCAGCAATCTTCCTCTTAGCTTGGTCACCATGCTGGGTTGCCTCAATCTATCCTACAAAGAAAACAAAAAATGCAGGATGTATTTACCATGAAACATTTACTGCAACAGATTCTCCAATTGTAGGTAAAATAGCATTCATTATATTTTTGTTTATTTTGTTGATAGGTTTTATGCAATTACCTAGAATGAATTTTCAGGGGAAAATCTACCTTTACCTTGGATTCCTATTCAAGATATACTATTTATAGATGTTTTAGGGTCAAGTATTGAGGCAATTCAGTGACATAATCACAGATCTCTGTTGTTCAGTTGCCAAGTCATGTCTGATGCTTTGCGACCCCATGGACTGCAGCACGCCAGGCTTCCCTGTCCTTCACTATCTTTCAGAGTTTGCTCAGACTCATGTCCATTGGGGTGATGATGCCATCAAACCATCTCATCTTCTGCTGCCCTCTTCGCCTGTTGTCTTCTATCTTTCCCAGCATCAGGCTCTTTTCCAGTGAGTCGGCTCTTCACATCAGGTGACCAAAGTATTGGAGTTCTCCATTCATGTACTTCAAGACTTCACATACTTCAAGACTAGCTTGAAGGATTTTGAGCATTACCTTGCTAGCATGTGAAATGAACACAACTTTATAGTAATTTGAGCATTCTTTGGCATTGCCCTTCTTTGGGGATGGAATGAAAACTGGCCTTTTCCAGTCCGATGGCCACTGCTGGTTTCCAAATTTGCTGGCATATTGAGTGGAGCACTTTAATAGCATCGTCTTTTAGGATTTGAAATAGCTTAAGTGGAATACCATCACCTCCACTAGCTTTGTTCGTAGTAATCCTTATAAGGCCCACTTGACTTCACACTCCAAGTAGTCTGGCTAAGTGAGGAACCAAACCATCATGGTTATCTGAGTCATTAAGACCTTTTTTGAACAGTTCTTTTGTGTATTCTTGCCACCTCTTCTTAATCGTTTCTGCTTCTGTTAGATCCTTGCCTTTTCTGTCCTTTATTGTGCCCATCCTTGCAAGAAATATTCCCTTGTTATCTTCAATTTTCTTGAAGAGATCTCTTCTTTCCCATTCTGTTGTTTTCCTCTATTTCTTTGCAGTGTTCACATAAGAAGGCTTCTTGCATATTTTTTTCATGGGGATGGTTTTGGCCACTGCCTTCTGTACAATGTTACAAACCTCTATCCATAGTTTTTCAGGCATTGTGTCTAACAGATCTAATCCCTGGAATCTATGCATCATCTCCACTGTATAATCATAAGGGATTTGATTTATGTCATACTTGAATTGCCTAATGGTTTTCCCTACTTCCCTCAGTTTAAGCCTGAATTTTGCAATAAGAGCTGATCATCTGAGCCACAGTTAGCTCCAGGTTTTGTTTTTGCTGAGTGTATAGAGCTTCTCCGTCTTCAGCTGCAAAGAATCTCTAGTTGTAGCTGTTTCCTGAAAAACACCAGGTAGAAGGGTAATACTATTCATAATGAAGGTAGTATGCTGATTTTTATCTCAACAGAATGAAAAACATTTGTCCATATAATTAACTACAATTAGTTTGAAATAAAACTTTGTCAATCATTATGCTTTTCTATGTGAGCTTATGTGCTCAGTTGCTTCAATCTTGTCCAAATCTTTGCGACCCTATGGACTGTATGTAGCCTGCCAGGTTCCTCTTTGCATGAGATTCTCTAAGCAAGAATATTGGCGTGAGTTGCCAGACCCTCCTCTAGGGGATCTTCCCAACTCAGGGATTGAACCCACGTCTCCTGCATCTCCTCGTTGCAAATGGATTCTTTATCACTGAACCACCGGGAAAGCCTTTTATATTTCAACCAAAAAGTTTTCTGTTTATCCTCGTTCTCCAAAAAAGATACACAAAAGACAAAGCTCATGAAAAACTGTCCAGCAGCGCTAATTATTAGGGAAATGCAAGTCAAAACTACAATGAGGTATTACCTCAGACGCCTTAGGATAAAAAACAAATAATAAAAATAAAACAATAATTGTTGTGGAAGATGTGGAAAAATTGGAAACTGTATGCACTGTAGATAGGAATATAAAATGGTGTAGCCACTATGGAAAACAGTGTGGCAGTTTTTACATAACTTTAAGATAGATTTATATGTCATCTAATAACTCCACTTTGGGTATACATCCAAAAGCATAAGGTCTTGAATAAGGTCTTGAAGTTTTATTTGAATACCGTATTCATAGCAGCATTGTTCACAATAGCCAGAAGCTGGAAGCGACTCAAATGCTACTTGACAGACAAATGGATAAGCAAACTGTATGTACATACAATTATACATATTTAAAGAAAAGAAATTCTGGCTACTACAACATGAATAAGCCTTGAATACGAGATGACGAGTGAAATGAGCAAATACCGAATGATTCCATTAACGTGAGGTACCCAGAGTACTCAGGTTTATAGAAGAAGAATGAAGAATAGTAGCTGCCACAAGCAGAGGGTAGAAGGAAATAGGGAGATGTTGTTTAATGGTTATGGGGTTTCAGGTTTGGAAAATGAAATGAGTTTTGGAGATTGCTTACCGAATAAGGTGAATATACTTACTGCTGAACTATACAGTTTAAAATGATTAAAAATTTAAATGGTTAATTAAGATAGTAAATTTTGTGTAATGTGTATTTTACAATTAAAAAGTTTTTAAAAGGAAAACCCGTGTTAAAATCATTTAACATAGTTCTAGAAAATTCAGTACGCTGCACTAATAGAAAATCTTTCCTCCTGCCCATCATCCTCTGCATCTCCCACATGCATCCCACACAGAGGCAAATATAGGTTTAATTCACAGCTGAACTTGAGAGAAATACCCAAATGCTACCAGTGAGCGTGAGAACAGCAAAAGCCCATGTGGAAGCCCAACAGCACACAAGAGCATCAGAACAGAAGCCAGTCAAAAGGGCGAGAAGCTAGTGCTTTAGGTGCTAAGAAGACAAAACTCCAGGTCTTGCCTCTAGAACTGTGATGGGCCACCTAGGCTCTGAAACAGAGACAAGAAAATCTGTTGGGCTGTGCTGGGCAAAATTCTCTGTGACCCACCTGGGAGCTTGAGTTGAAACAGTGTCACACATGAGGAAGCAAAACCAGAAGCCTTTACTATAGGGAAATATGGATTCTAATTTCATACTGCCCTTGTGAAGGGAACCATCAGTTGAGAAACATGAATAGTAAAAAATCAAAATGTGGGTCCCAAACTAGAGACATCCATAAAGCTAACTCAGCAAACCTGCAGTTATCAGAACCCAGGACACATGAGACTTCCATCAAAAGCAAATATGAGATAGCAGTAAAAAATGTTAAATTATATCAATTTCTGGAAGAAAGCTACTACGTGTGACAGACAGAAGAATGAACCCAAAAAAAAACCTTAAATTACCAAAAAAATTTAAGAGACTTTAAAATAATGTTTAAAAGGAAAAAAGGA